GATATTTATCACCTTTTTTGTTCGCCATGTATCTTAATGACATAAAAGAATATTTTATTATGAATGAATTTGAAGGAGTTAATTTAGGTTTCAAAAAATTGTTTTTAATTTTATATGCAGATGATATCGTTATTCTATCTGAAACAGAAGAAGGCTTACATAAAGGTTTATTGTTATTGGAGAATTATTAAGATAGTGGAGATTAACTATTAATATTAAGAAGGCTAAAATAATGATTTTCAGAAAAGGCAGACTAAGGCATAACATTTCATTTGTATATAAAGGAGAAAATTTAGAAATTGCCGAAAAATTTAATTATTTAGGAGTAGTCTTTACAGCTGGTGGATCTTTTAATACTTCTTTTGAAACACTTTCTGGTCAGGCTTTGAAGGCATTATATAAATAAAAACTAGATTTGATTAAATTCCCATGTATAACTTTGAAACATAAACTAGATATTTTTGATAAATTGATCTCACCAATTTTGAACTATGCTTCATAGGCAAGCGGTATATATGATTGTTGCAAATTAGAAAAAGTTAAAGTTTGGTAAAAAAAATGTTAGTCGTCAGAGTACAAACTCAGAACAATTTTATTTATGGAGAACTAGGTAGAACAAATTTGAAATTATGAAGAATTGTTAGTGTAATAAAATGCTGGCTTAAAATTATATAGCTTGAAGATGTAAAATACGTTAAAATAGTTAATGAATTATTGTACAGAGAGTTGCATGCAAAACCTAACAAAAACATGGGTTAGAAGCGTTAGAGATTTATTACAGTCACTTAGTTTTAATGATGTATGGTTATCTCAATGTGTAGGGCACACAAAAGCAGGTATTCTTGAATTACCTTTAACCCATTGCAAGGTCAATGGCGTGTTCGGCAAACGAAGCGAGGCTGATAGGGGCAAAGATATGAAACAAGTTTTTTGAGGATATACGCTATTAACAATAGGATCAACACAGATGTTAGTTGTTCTTGCGGATCAATTGTTATTTACGCAAATGATATGGAAATAAGTGTGACTGGACAAGAGGCAACAACAACTTAAAAGTATTAAGTAAAATAAACATTATGATCCCATCTAACATAAAGGTAATGATAAAGATCATTCATATATTTACAGCAATGGACGGAAAAATAAAATATCCAGTAAATGTACTGAAGAAAAAGGAGATATATAATGAAAAGAAAACAATTGTAAACGATATCAATAATAAAAACAATAAAGCACATGTAACACCAAACCTTGCACGTCATATAAACGCTAGAAATATTTTAGAAAGCGACGGACGGACACATACCGCAAAACTTCCGCAAGCACAGAGAAGCTCTACGAAATCTAAAAAAAGATCTATGAGAACAAAACAAAAGTTCTTTGCAATTACTATCCTGTATTCTTTAACATTCATACGACAGGTAAAAACTCTTACTACCGACACTTTAGCTTTGCCTGGCAGGCGATATATTACACAGTGTTTAATGCTTATTTCTTAATAGTACGGTGAATTGCTATGCTAATATTTTCTTGACAAAATGTTTCGGGATGAGCTACGGAAAATATATTCTTTGATATGTTGTAAACAGGAGTAGAGCACATCGTGTTCACAGGGACTCACATAATCAAGGTCACATTTTCTACATAAAAAACTTTGGGACGTGGCGACCTCCTGAAAGTAATACCAGATAAAGTGCGACAATTATAGGGTGACTGTGTGCAGAGCAATAATCTTTCAACAGCAACAGTGAAAAGACTTTCCTATAAATTGAACCTCTTCACTTATCAGCATCAATAGTTTGTCCCTGCAGAAGATGTTCTGTCGGTTATAATCACAGTATCCGTTATATAGACACTTTTATTAAACTGAATGAGGCTGAACATATTCTATGCATTCTTGTGACAATTGTGTTTTGTTGTATTATTTGTACATGTGTAATTGGTCTTCAATATGCTTATTTCTATAAATAAAGCTTTAAAGTACCAAATGACTCTTTTCTAATAGACAGTCGTTGCATTGTTAACATTTTATCATTCACAACTTCTTTGATTTACTTATTTTATGTTTGATGTTCTTCGTTTAATTAAAAATAGTTTGATCGTTTGTGTACACTTCATTTGGCAAAATTTTCATCTTAACCATCATCACCACCACCACCACCATCATCATCATCATTATTATCATCATTATCATCATTTTTATCATCATGTCCCTAATCATCATAATCATGTATTTTCGAACAGTCTCCACAACGAAAATTTGTACGAGTTGTTCACGTCTCCGTTTTTCTATTAAAAGAATGAGAAATCTTCTTTCGTAACGATTAGTTTTCTTCTAAGAATTAACGTCCATTTTTCACAATATGCTCATGAGGGGAAGGGTTAAAATCGTTTCCAGCGTATCTTATTAGTTTTGGTACCCGGGCCACTTTAAAAATAAAGCCTAGCTCTGCTTGAATGGTCGTTTGTTTCTTAACTTCCCCGGGAAGATAAACGTAATCGTACCATTTAATGAATTAATTAAGTCTTGCTTTACTAGATTGTTCAAACAATATCAATAATCGGCTTATAGCGAATGAAATCATAGTAAGAAATAATGGTAAAGTTTTAAATTTTATACTTTCCTTAGATTATAACAGTTCAGAAAGATCTCTCCTCGACTATTTCTATATCATCGAACAATAAAAGAGTTATTACGTCTCTTTAGGGCTTTGCTTTTTCAAATATAGCGCATTTACGTGTAGACGTAAATCCGTTGCTGTTTCACAATATTAAATGCAAACGTTAAATCTATCGATACGACGAAAAAGGTGAACGTTTGAAATGATTACAAACATAATGCACATGTTAAATGAACACGAAATATGGCCATTTCCGGTAATGATCTTCTAACGAAGATTTTCTAAGATCTCAGCCATATTTATTTCAATAGAAGCAAACGGCGTAGGGTGTGTATATACCAAATTCTTTCCTCAAGTAGCTATTTTTTGTCACTGTTACTTGGATTTGTTTTAAAGCCCTTGCTAAATTATTTGCTTTATATAAAAGAGATATGCATGCTTTTTTTCATTTTCTGTATCTTACATCACATTACATCCATCATGGTTTCGTTTTGTTTCCTTTAAATATCTCAAGGGTTCATTCCAACGAAAACTGTATTAAAATTGTCCGTGCATTATGCACCATTGGGCGTTCCCGATTGCAGTATTTTGTATTTTTTCTGAAAGCTGAAAATCTTGGTTTTCAGATGATACATTTCATTCAATCATCGGTGCATTACTATAGTCACTGTGACATTTGCTGCAAAAGAAATTGAGTCAGTTCTTGGCAAGACGCACAAGCGTACATAGGCAATAAGTTAAGATCATCATGGCCCGTGTGGATTTTCAACAAATGATAATGATGATGTTTGAGGGCAAAAAAGTAAATAATTATGTGGTATCTGAATGAGATAGAATAGCCTTACATGTATAATTTGCCGGTCACAAGGTGTAAGAACAAAGACAGGTCATGGCGGACGTTTTAAATTTTTATCCAACAGGAGGAGATGACGAATTCCTTCAGGATTTAATCACTGTCAGATGGAGAAAACAATGTTCCATTGACAAAGTAGCTGATTTTGAACAAGCAAATGCTTCTGAATTACGAAAATGTACGCTTTCAGAATTTTTTTCTGGCTAAGCAGTGCTTTGATTTTGTAGCCCAACATTTAGTTGGCCAGGGCTTTTTCTTATATAGAACGGTCGTCTTTCGTGAAATATCATGTAATATAAGGTCGGTCTTGCAGTTGAACTATTGTGAATAAGTCATTTTATAGAAATTGAGCTATGTTGCGGGAAAGCACCATTCGTGCTTCAGCTGGTTATTTATCAGCATTGACATAAATATTAACAGGACAAATTTTCTGCACATTTAAGACAAAAAATTCTTAAATGTTGCTTATCTTACTAATATAATTGTGCGCAAAGGGCTCTTTTAATACATAGAGATTCTGTATGCCGTCCCTCCAAATGTATATGGCAGAAATATGACAAATTTCAGTGTGTATAATCGGTTTGCCCTTTTGCAGACAAAACATTGAGACTAGGAAAGTTTCTTGATATTTGTTGGTAAATAACGGGCACAGAAAACATTCATTAACATTTTTCCTGAATTTGCTTGTTTACATAAAGAAATTGCGCAATACTAATGGTGTTCTTTTTTTACCATAAGAGAACCGACCATTCCAGTAGGCGGAGTTTAATTCCCCATATTTGGAAACTGCCATGTTAATTCACTTCATGTCAAAATAGACAGCTAAGAGAAGCAAAAATTTGAAAATCTCTCAATAATGATTGGATAAAAAGCATTGCAAGGAACAGAGTGAACTATAAGTTTAAATATTAATCATTTATTATGTAAATGAATCAGAAAAAAATCCTTAAACTTTGTAAATTAGATCTACAGTCAATTAAAAAAGAAAAGAAAAAAACGAAGAAAAACCACATTTTTTTGACCATTTAATGAATATTATAAGAAATATATATATAATATATAGATATAAAACATTAATAAGAATCATTTTACTATCAGTCGTCTGCAATTTCTTGCTGTGCGCATCCCATTATGATAGTTAAAACTAAATATCAATCTTATACAGTCTATATCAAATCTGTCTAAATGCTTTAGACCTGCAGTTGGGTATATATCGCAACAATGTCAATACTACAATGCATTAGTCATGATGGGTGTAGCTTAAATACAATAGCCTCACTTCCTCGAGCCAAAGCACCTTACTTGTCACAAAAAAAAAGTTATATTATATAAGACATAAGGAAAATATAAGACATATTGATGACAGGAACATTTTAGCAAAAAAAGCACCTCAACACGCGACACTTTAATACATAAAATATATAACATACAATCTAAGTAGAAATACAACAAAACAACAAAAAACACAAAATAAACGGACAAACATAATTGAAAAAAAATGTACAACTGAAAATATACAAGATATATATATGTCTGTTGTTTTTATTAAAAAGCTTTGCAGCAACAATAGTTCGGTCCGCAGTGATTAGCTCTCCATGTGCATCCTCCAGAGCCGTATCCATATGAAGCAAGATTAATTTTTCCAGAATCAGGTTGGTCTACTCCAGGGTTGGCTTTTAGTAGGGCATGATTTTTTCTTATGGCGAATGCATCATAACATTTCACGCTGTGAATATATAATGTGAAAATAGAAGCAATAGCCGATTCCAATTTCATAAATTATGCTGAGTGTATCATTATTATTATTATTATTATAATTATCTTTACCAACAGTATCAGAATCACCACCATCATCTTAATTATCATCATCAATATTATCATAACAACCACTACCATGATAACTATTAATTATCACCATTAAAAGTATAGCATCACTACCATTTTCATTAGGCTTTTTCTAGACAATTTATTTATTCTAAGATAGTGTAGCGTTATCCCCGTTAAGGTATGTAAGGGATACAAAGAAGGGGGCAAACTACACGAGTAAACATGGAACCGGCTTGTTGGTATATGGATGCTAACTGCCTGCTCTACGAAGAAAAACCGAAGCAATTTAACGTTTAAAGATTAGATTTATTAAATGAACTAAACACTATTATTATATGATCTAAAATAGTTGCATTTTCATTGATTCAAACAGTAGTCAACATAACAAATCGTAAAGTCATATTCACTGGGTGTACTATCATATTCACTAGGTGAAATGGATTTTCCCATTTTAAAAATAAAATCAAACTCATATTCAATAACCATACCGCGAAGACAATTAACTGCGCGTTCACCGGGTGAATATGATTTAGGCATGCCCATTTATGACTAGGTGAAATATCACATTCACTGGCTGAATTTTCCTTATTTAAAATAAAATCAGACTCATTATGAAATGACAATACAGCATAGACTATTCAAAAATGTTGCATTTTGTTCTTTATGGCATATTTCTCAATTCAAAAATATATTTACTCCACATTAATCAACAATAAAAGTTACAACGCAATGATAAGTACATTGATAACTTTTTTTTAATACTAGGCTTTACTTTGTGCGTGTGTGTTATAATCTTAGGCTGTTCATAAAATAAAACAATTCTTGACTGATGATACAATGGTTATGATATGATATATGGTATAATAACGAACAGCTAATATCATTTCATCATATTTATTGATTTAAATGTTTATTTGTATTTACAATAGTAGTCAATGTTGTGCACCCTTACTCTTACTCGTATTCATCTATCAGTCATATTAAGTATTCTTACCTAATACAAATGCCCGATTGTTCGATAGATATCTTTATGAATTATATTATATGAGACTTAGAAGTTCACACTTTAATTAATAATTATGTTAACACAGAAGACCACGTGCAGTTCAATATCGCATTCACCAATTGAGTGCTTTCATACCGAAAAGAAACTAGTAACAATTCAATTTAGTCAGGCCACCCCATAAGCTTTACCATTTGGTAAACTTTAAATTTTCAAAAATTTTAATACCGCACCGTTTATTTCCAAAACAATGACCCCTCTCGAAAGAGAAATCATTCAAGTAATTATAAATTTCGACTCTACGCTGTACAGAAATCAATTTTTTTCAATCATATCGACATATTTGAGACCAGAGTTCAAGTTTTAATGTCGCTGTTTATTACAGATAAAACATTTTTTCAACGATTTCATTGGCGTATACGCCATTTTTGCACAGTCATGTGATAAAACCATCAACACGTGATTTGTGTTACTGGCCGTAGCGTAACCGGTGCGCGGGGTATGATAAAGCACATTGAATGAATTTAGCGGTACTACAATGTCAATACTTCTATGGAAAAGTAAGTGGGTGAGGTAATGAAAATGTTTGTTTACAATAATACATTGAGTTGCGGTCGATACAATAGAATGTTTGGCATTACAATTGAAGATAATTAATGAAAATATTATTTTTCTTACCTTTTTCTTTGATAAGAGATAGATCTCAGAATGGAGATTTTAGCATTTGCACACATAATCTGACATGTCGGCGCATTAGCACAATTTCTCCTGATTGCAAACACCCAACCAGGACTTCCTCGAAGCACAATAAGTCTGGGCCATCTCATCGAAGTAATTATAACTCAAACTGTACTGTTCTACTGATCTGGAATAGTCTATGCTCACTGAAAAAAAAAGAAAAAAAGAAAAAGAAACGTAAACGTAGTTTACCAAGTGGCCGTTAACTTGTCTAGCATCGTACATAATGAATGCAGAATTGTTGAAACACTTATAAATTATATTTGAAATTTATGTTTCATTGTTTATGAAAGCATTTTTGTGTGTGTGTGTGTGTGTTTATGAATACATCATGTACATATGCATGTAAGCTGTAATAGATCTAATATGTGGCAATATCAAAATATACTATTTCTCCAAGTTCATGATTTTCATGAATTATATGTAAAATTGCTTATTAAAAATAAATAATATGTTTCTAAATAATGTTTATTTATAATTTAGTAGGAGAAGCAGAAATTTCAAAGTACGAAAAACTATGAAATAAGAAATAATATTTACATAGAAAAATCACCGCAGTAATGTATAAGATATCTTTACGTCCTTCCATTGCCTCGTGTCAGGTTGAACTTTTGTCACAAACAGGGCTTGACTTGTCTTAAAAACCAAAATACCAAATAATGAAACCTATCTTATAAAACTTTGGTAGATAATTTCTTTTTTGAAATCAGCAACGAACAAAAGAATTTCTGTCAAAATTCATTACAGTGGTACTTGAGGATTTGCAATGCATATGTTTATTTTATACAACAATTATAAACGACTATTAAGTATTATCATCAGTAAGTAGTTTTACAATGCTATTGTTTTTTTTTGTTTTTTTTTCGTTTGTTTTGTAGGGTGGTGCTAACAAGGGATGTTTTTTTTATTAACTAATGCCTTGGAAGTATTGTCGTCTCCACTTACCCCCAACGAACGAAGAACAGGTGAGAGAAGATTCTGCTTGAAAATTAAAGTCACTGCTAATTTGGGCACTACGATCGGACCAGCAAATGTGCAGCTAATCTGACCCATATGGTTGATTCCGGCTGCTATAGTATAAAAAACTTATCCCCCCCACACACGCACGCACACACGCACGCACGCACACACGCGAGCACAAAACATCTTTAAGCGGTGCAAACTGTATATCTATTTATGATTATCAGACAGACAACAGAATACTCTTTTCAGTTTCATATTGGTTTCAATGAGATTTCCAAAAAGATGGAAATTAGGTTTATTTATTTTCTTTCATTGTTTATTTTTCATCTTTAACAATACTAAAGAAACAATAACAAAGCCTAGCATTAAATGTGTCACAATACAGAATACATTGAACGGTATTCATATGTAAGATGGAAAATTTAAGGCTTCCGTAAAAAATTATCATAGGACTTACGTCAATCACAAATTGCCGGTCCTTGTAAAGGACTTGGAACACAAAAGTAATGCTTAACCGACCGGACATGGCCATTCGGTTTAACTTAACCTACGCTACAAAAATTAAACATGGTAACAAGAAATATGTAATTTAGCGTGTTAAATTCCACTTACGGTATGATATAAATTTAAAAGTATACAAGAAAAATATTCATTATTTATTTGATGATTATGATGTAATTACAAACCAAGTTTTAACTGTAACTGTTGGCGGTATTTCAGAATTGTTTCTTATCTTATGTTGTATGATATCGTAGAATTTATTCTGCTTGACAGACATCTTCTTTTCAGTGATAATATCGAAACAAACTTGATGTTTCTCTAGTTGTTGACTAAATACCCCTGCAAAGATTACACTTTCTGGCTAAAGTTTAAGAGAATAATCACATAATAGTAATATGTATGTATGTGTTTAAATATAAAATTAAAGATACTTACTAAGATGCTCACCTAATCAATCCTTTTAAAGCATTTAATATAGTTATTTAGTAGCTCAACACTTTGCTTAAATGCATCAGATTTTCTCACTGTGTGTATCCTGTGTCAAATCTGATATGGATGAGATAACCAACCAATGAAAATATCCATTAAGTTTCTTTAAGAACATTTTCTCCTCCTTATGTATTTCTTTTTTATAATTATATTTGCAATACCCGGATATTCTTTTTTATGATGTTGCAATTAACCAATATAACTCATAGATATTAACTGCATCCTTAACAGTGTTTTGATGTAAACAGCGATAAGAATCATACACCATCACAAATTTGTCGCCAGACAGTCTCATTTTATTAGAATAAAGGATCAGATAATATATAAAGCATAGCTATATATGGTAACTATTATCATAATTGAATGGTGTTGATGTGAAATGTTATGGGTTTTCATAAGGATATTACGTCAGTGAATAAATTAAATAAGATTAAAGATAAACACAAAAAACTGTTACCATTTAATAACATTTTATATATTATTATCCAAATTAAAGGAATTTCAAATCTGAAAATAAACTTAATTTACATTAAAGTTTAACATAGATTTGCATCCAATTGCATTTTGTTTCTCGCCTTGTAGAGCACTTTATAGTTTTGTTATCTTATTTATTTATTTATCTATTTATTTATTTATTTAATTATTTATTTATTTATTCGTTATCTGTTTATTTATATGGTTGGTTAGATAGTTAGTCGATCGGTCGTAGGTAGATTGGTCTATTGTTTGTTTTTTCGTTTAGAATTTTAATTTCTCTAAATACCATCATTTAAAATTTCAAGATAGAGAAAAATGTCGCTGTAATACATGTATTTTGCCATTTTAAATTAACTTTGTACCTACATGTAAATTTAAGATTATTTTGTTTAAACATTTATTTAAACTCGACTGCAAAACAAGTTCTTGCAACTTATATTAATCGCTTCCTTGAACCAACCAGTACTGGTATCATATGAAGAAACATGGTCGTGGCCCGATTAGGGCTCTAACCGATAGTCCCTGCTTGACAGGCAGACACCTTAACCGCTAAAATAAGATTAGTTATTACTTCGAAGCAAATTGTAACTCAACGAAGTTGCTACCTAGTTGCTGCCTAGTAAATTGCTTTATTTGAGTTTCCGTGCCATTAAATGTAACTTTGGTTGTTATTAATTACTCATATTCATGTATTCATTCAATTATTAAAATGACATGCGTGTTGCATTTTCTTAAATTATGTATTTTTGTTTAGATATAAACACAACACAATCCTTTATCGGATATTTCTGATACAATTTAAAAAAGATGAATAAAAAGAGTTTGATATTTGTAGAATATTTGCAGACTACAAAGTTCATTTACCAATACATGTACAGTATAATGATAAAATTAATATAGTTATTAAAAGCATTTTGCAATAATCATACATAGTAGGATTTTATCCATTTTAAAGTCATTTCGTGCATGTTATTTATGATGCCATGTACAACCAATGAAATTGATGTAAAAAGAGAAAACGCATTCTTCTATAATGGATGTACGGCCAATAAGGCAATTATTTTTACATAGAACAGACCATAAAAAAGGGACAAAGCAATTTATATATAAGTAACTTACCCCTATATGAACAACTATAAATAATTTTTGCGAAACTCTCTTCGTTCCTTGCTAATTTCCATAGACTTACATTGAGACTTCCTTCTAGGATATACATGTATAATGAACATGGATTTAAATCAAGCCTTAATGACATGACTTTTAGGCTCAATGACACTGTAATAAAAAATCGAATACACCGCTCTAACATTTGATCACAATCCAACGTCCAACCCTTTGAGAGATTGATTTGATGGCCAAGAATAACGTTTGAAAAATGATAACACAGCTTTAAATTAACAAATAATCTATATATTATGTCGACTACAAAATACTCTTGTCTCATTGGATATTTTGACGTCACATGACGCATACATCTACCAGAATATAATGGACAAGATAAACATTAAAAATGGTCGCAAGCATTGTTGTAACAACAAAATAATGATCAGGACGTTTACCAGCATGTTATAATTGTTACAGGGTTGGTAAACGACCACGTATTTATTGTTCTGTTAAAAGCCATATCGGCACTTAATATTTAATCTCGCCAAAATATTGTTCCCTACAGACCAGTACATCTCATATCAGTTTAGTAACTTTCCCTCCGACAATTGATATTAAAGAACAGGTGAATATGTCAGGCCAATTTATTAATTATTATTTATTTGCATTTTGCATTTTTGTATGAACGGGAATACGGCTATATTCACAACCTATCCCGTGAACGTTTATTTTCATTTTCCGCTCTATAATTTGTTTAACAAATAATTTAACGCAGGAATGTCAAAATAACGCAGGTAATGTGTAAGGGTACCGCCGAATTTGGGCAATATATAGTCAAAACGGGTAACACTGTTATTAAACGGACCAGTATGTTATGTTATAAATTAAATTTAAAGAAACAAATCAGCGCATAAAACTGCTAAGATACGATTTTTTAATCAAGCATTTGATTGGTCAAAAACTGCCACAGAATGTACACTGACCAATGAAACACCCAAGATTTGAGACAGAACTAAAAGTTTAATAACCTTGAAGGTCAGGTTTTTATTCTCACGAATGCACTTGAAAATAAACCACTCCCCCTTTCAATATTTATAATGGTTATATTACCACATGTAGATTAAAATATTTTATTATCATCGCGCACCTGCAAAATGCTCCTAATTGGACTTTTGTTTGTAAACATCCCGTCGACTCGTAGGAAAAATATATTTTTATGCTAAGAAACCGTTAGAATATCAAAAAAAAATAACGTAGCGCACCAAAGATTGGCTTTAGTACTTGATTAATTTTATAAAATGTTTAAAAAAAAGTTTAATCCTGAAAACAGGATAAATCTTTTCCTAAATGCTCCCACTCGGACTCCCAAACAAACATTATTTTGTTATCGATAGTAAAACTGTAAACGTTTTCACAACTATATCAAGTACTAAAGCTAATATTTAGTGCGCTGCATTATTTTTTGATATTCCAACGTTTCCTTAGAATTAATCATATTTTATCTTCGACTCGATCGGAAAACATTCCGTTTGGTTGCTCGACGACGTAGTATCCTACCATTGAATAAGTATCAGCAATGTATAAACGTGTATGGAATTTTGTAAATGTTGAATATTTCTCACTAAGTATTGCAATAAATCATAAGATAAGATGCTTATATAAGGCTTACTATAAAATCGGTGTTAGTGAAATATTAACAGATTAGTTAATGATGCAGATGCTTACTTTATGGTTATGGGCTCCATAATATAATAATTTTTATTTATTTAATCGGATGATGGGTGCAAAAAAGTAAATAATATTAAGTATTAAAATGCACGACATACTGCATATTGAACTACTCATTATTTGCGATGGAAGAATTTTGGCTTGATTCCAAATGTTATTTATAAAATTAACTGATTGCGCTTTAAAGCAGTGAAATATAATTATATTATTTCCGTGTTCTGATAGTGTTGTTCTCGTGCTCTTTGTCGTGTCATTTGCCGCTTTTCGAAGAAAAATACAAACGTATTTAATAATCATACACCACATCACCATAGTGAAGATTCTTTCAAAAAAATATTTGCAGATCTGTGTAAAGAAAAGATATTTGGTGATATTAATACAAGAAAAGGATTTTGAATCCTAATGAATCTGTAAAAATTGAGTTATATGCGAAAATATTGTATATAACTCGACACTTTTTGTTATGTTCTTTACAATTGTGTAACGTGAGAGAGTGTTTTCCGGTATGACGTCATTGTTTGAGAAAATACCAGTTTGGTGGCTGACATACGTACATGCACCTTAGGGTTCGTTGTCCTTTAAATAAACGTTAATTCAAGTACATCCGATGCAAGGGAATTAAAAGTATATAAACCTTTATCGCCCTTGTATTCGAACAATAATAGCAAATATAATTATCCATATGTTGACTCTAAAAACACTTTAAATTAAAGCAATGCGAGAAATGCCTTCCTTCTACAGTAAGTTGCAAACAACCCGAATGCCAACAATAACTATATATTATTCCGCATGTTAATTCGATTCAAAAGGTAATGCGTTAAGAGGGATGACAATTAAAACATTTGTTACATATGCTATTAGTTATATAAAAGCCGGAACAAATCAGCCTCGGTCAAAAACATAGCAATATGATGGAGTGGCGGAAAGAAAGAAACTTGGTTTTCTGCATTGTGATTATTCTTCTATGTAAATATGCTTTTTCTTTTTCAGTTTTTATTTTAATGATGAAATTATTCTTTGATAATGCTTTTCGTTACATGTAACGTTATAATAAACTTAAGGTTATATTCATATTTGGATTAAATTCAATATTAAACATTCTGATAAATTTACCTAGAAAGTTTGTTTCCGATACTCATTATAATTATTTCAAAATTTGGACGTATATACGTTTCAGATAGATCCTATGAATTATTTAAATATTTTATTTATTTTAGAATGAGATGCCCTTATTATAGTATTTTATATAAAAATGACCAATGAAAATCCTACTTATATCCTGTTCTTCTCTGTATGTGTCACAGGAAGTCTAACCGTTCTCGAAGATAAAAATACATATTATATCGAAACTTTAATTCAATTATGAAGCGAAATGTTCCGTTCATCAAAATTTTAAAATGCACATTGATATGTTTCTAATTTATATTTTGTTACCAAAATTCATTCATTTATATAATTAATAAATTTAGGAATATTTGGTCTATATTCATGAAAAAATCGAAACTCGTCTTCAACAATAAGACAACTATATTTCCTGCCATTTAATTCAAACAGAAAACAGTACATAACACAAATTATATGAATCGGTACGACATTGTCCGTTAAAAAACCAGCTGTTTTTGTAGCAATACTCAAAATACCGGCCGTATAGACACTAAGGTTCATTAAAGACTGTGAATCGGGCGACCCGGGTTGGATTCCAGGACGGTGCAGAATACTTTCATTGTGATTACATGAAATCCTTTCAACGGTCATCCTCACTGTACCTCTGCTCTGGTATGTACAGAAGTTTCACTTCCTTGCGAAAGTGTAGGCAACTGATGGCCTGTCCAGGACGGTAACAGACCTGTGCTCTACTTAATTCATTGTAGCCTACTGCCGTGACCAGGAGTAAAAATTACCACCACCACATATAGTTTTTTTTTTTTTGTAAATCGTTTAAAAGCGCCATTATCCCTAACAAAAATATTTGAATTAGTCATCATTAAGTGATATCTTCCATTAAATTTTAAATATATTAAAAGAGAAAGAAAATGATGCATCGGTAGGTTTAATATTTTGACTTTCAATAGAAACAAAACAACACAGAAGAGAACAGAACAGAACAGACTTTCAATATCAACAAATCTGCAAAAAATATTTGGAAAAATGTTTTGTATTAACAGTAAATTGATCTATAATAGAAGGTCTGTAATACAATAAATATTTGTGTTAATAGCATTAAGTATCAGAAACAAATCATGACAGAATTAATGTACGGGTGTTGTTGGCAAGTTTGAGTTACATCGTCAGATATTACATATACAGTTTGTTGTATTTATATAGCATGCAATAAAATGTTCTAGAACAAAATATTATCATCAATCATATAAATGCTCATACTAAATCACTTAGAATCTTATCACCCGTTTTTAGCAAGGATATGTAAAGGATACCTTTCTTTTGTCTGTATCAACGTTTGAATATACTTATGGAAATTGTGCAAATCATAGATCAAGTCACTTAATATATAGAAACAAATCTGCGAGAAAAACTTTTATAAATCTTTTGTCTGTAAATAGGAACAAATTCTTCGAGTTCGCTTCCGGTAAAAATGTGTATCTTGCTTACATCACAACAGCCTTTTTATAAATTTTACGGTTACCAAATTTTACAATCTAAATTTTGTATACATTTTGCAATTTCGCTAAATCTCATCTGATGTTCTCATGAAGGTGATATATTATGATCCTGCAATACATCACTTGCTGAGGGTTATAACTTTTAGAGAGAGAGAGAAAGCAACGGCAACGTAACATATTACTGCCAATGATCAGTCACATACATAATCATACTGATGATTTATCTTGCCAGTTTCTTTTATTTCATATTGTGTAGTATCTAAATTAACACCCCGTCCGTGCTTTGCCTTGTCCAGTGTCCTGTCTTTTGTGTCCTGCTTTGCTCCTTACCGGTGGTCTTGTGTTGACGGGTTGTGTCTTGGGATCCGTTGAATGCCACCCTGCCTTGTACTTCTTTGGTTTCAGATTTTAGACTAAGTGATAGCCTCAGAAATTATGTTTGATCTGACAAATTCACTATTTTCGTTATTGATAATTTGTTTGTTCTTCTGTTGTTTTTACACCGACTTTAACACATTGTTTTCAGTGAAGATAGAACCTTCCAGATCCATAGAATACTACGACCTGAGTTATAGCTACTTTGACGAGATAGCTCAAGCATATTGTGCCTCAAAATTTCAAGGTTGGGTATTTGCAATTAGAAGACATTGTTCAACTGCACCAACATGTAATGAAATGTGTGACAATGCAGCACCTGAGATTCTAGAATCTATCAGTCATCAAAGAAAGAAGTAAGTGAGCTTACTAAAAGATTGTATGTTTGTTGAGACAGAATCCACTTTTTATATAAAATCTGGCAGCTGTTTATACATTCAGTACATGTCTATCTATTAAGACTGTCTTGTACTGCAAATGTATAATACAGAAGCCTCGGTTTCACTGAATGAATCATGGCTACAATTGTTATTTATGTAAGCGTCAATACTTCAAAGCACCGACAGATACGATTTTCTTATATATAAGATCCCTTCCTCACAACGTATTAATAAGCCCTCATGTATATTTATTTTCATAATATTCATTTTTGTGAATATACCATGAAAGGTTTAATTGCTTCTTCAATTGCGTTTTTGTGACACCATACTTTATTCTGTTAAGTCATATCGACTCAACATTTTTCATTGGTTTGCTGTTGTTACTCTGAATTATGCAACCACATTCGGACATTTGTGTAGGGCATTTGTCCAATCGCAGGGTAACTGAACAGGTTCGCTACAAACAAAGATGAAAAGTCTCTGGTGGGTTTCAAACTGACAGGGTTGTAACACCGCACTTTGGGGTCAAATGCACTTTGGGTACAACCCCAAAGTGTCTTACGTACTTTGGGGTTCAACTAAATAAAATGGAATTCTGAAAATGGATCAGAGGTTATGAACCTAAGGGATCAGAGTATACGAGCCTGCATATCCCTGATCAGACGTCAAAATTAGGCAACATCTTCATAATCATATTTTCAAACAGGAATATTTGAACCACCCTACTTGAAAATGCCAAATGGTTAGAACTAAAATTACCACAAACACAAAAAATGTCGTTCTGAACGATCTATAAGTGTCGGAAATATAACATATCTGATTAGCTCATAATAGCAGACGATAGACTATTTTAATTTGTTATACTTTAGGGTTGCAATTTATTATAATAATGTTTTATATTCAGTTATTTGTTTCATTGGATAGTGGCCTTAAAGAAAGACATATAAGTATGTATGATGTATATTCTGTATAATAATGCATTAGATAACATATTCGCAAAGATTTTTAAAGATTGCATGTCACACATATTTCAGTACTAATTAAAATCCAGTTCCTTATTAGAAAATGGTGACGACCCATTAAAATATTGATTTACCCTATTTCTAATCTTTTTAAAGGGGGATAACATTTCTGAATTAATTAGTAACAATTCTTTTTATGTTGAATGTTGAACATTGAAAAGAATTAAGGTTGTACCAATCTGTCACTACTGGGCATAATGAAGTTTTAAAGGTGGCTTTTAATATGGATACCATATTACAAGAATTTATCATACTCAACAAGATCATAACGTCTATTTAGATGAAATTCCCTAAATTATTTTCAAAAACACATATAAAGTAATTTTCGGAAAATACGAAAGTCATCTTGTCTCATTTCACAATGGCAGCTGTTTTGGTGGTACATAAAACAGATACGTCTTGCAAAACCTGAAATTATCAAAATAATATAAGTTTTCATTGATTCAGAATATAAACTGTCTCGTCCTGTACTAAATTTTAATCATATCAGTTCATTTTTTTCTCATGCCGGCGTCCAAAATATATAAGTCGTTGCGGACATATTAAAGTATATTTCAGAAAGTTTAAGTTGGCTTATATTAGTTACTTTCATAAAAAAGTGATTGGCACCTGACAAACAAAAAAATGGGTTTTACGAAATGAAAACCAAAATGTACATTTAGGCATTTATTAAATTGACAGTGATAACGGTCATGATCATGAAGAAGATATAAAATGTTTTACAAACTATCTTATTTTGTAAAAAAATGTCTAAGATTTTTCGACATTGTATACGTTTTTTAGCGATGGAATTAATGTACTCCAAGTATTTAGGATTATCGAAAATTGTGAAAAAAGCTTGATGAAGCCGTAACGCAACTTAATTATGGTAAATTTTATTTCTAACAAACCTGTGACAAGTCCTTTAAACATAAAATGAAATGCAGAGGGATGATTTTAACTGCATTTTATTACCTCCCATCATTCAATAATGCAACAAAGGTTATCAATTTGGTGTCGGACCACAAAGTGCATTTGAAAAACAAACCCGCGGTGTTACACAGCGTGAAGGGCGCGTGGGTAATTATTATATATAATATATACTTCGGAGGCCGTCACAACTATTTTGTATATGTTGTTTCAATTTTTGTATTTGTATTAACATTTGCTTATATAAAAACAAAATTTTAATTAAAGTTTATATTAAAGTCTTAAATTTAAATACCAACGGAAGGTTGAGAAATAAATTGTAGAAGTACTCTGATAAACATTCATGTATTTCTATATAAATCTATTATCTAATTGCAGAGTTTCTTGTTTCGATGCGTTTGGCATTAAAAAAGATCACCCACGATTAAAAGCAAACCCTACATATGCACAACCCGATTCTGGAAAAGTTGGGTTAATTACGTACAGCTATGGAAGTGGTGGTTGTTCATGGAAGGCAAATCATTGCGGACCTAATTACTGCTGTTGTAAAGCTTATGTGTATAATAATGATGCATAACTGAACAAAGTGTTTTTTGAATGTTTAATTAACGATTTTTCATTATGAAATAAAGTTCCATAACCTTCGATGGCTTCTCTCTTTATATTATGTTGCTTTAATTTGATTCGTTGTATTTTGTTTTCCAATAATTAGGAAATAGATTATATGCATCACACTTTTCAGATAAGTTAAATTATGATTTCAGAGAATACATGTAATTTCACGTTTTTATCTGCTGGCGACAACAAAATCTACCCATGCAATAGGCTAAGACAAAGATCAGCTGGCACATACCTGCCGTCATATGATGGTATTCACTGATCCCATCAAGTCAGCTTTATTGTGTTAAATAAATGATGAATGATTTTGGCTAGACAAATTGAAAGATGTACAGTACCATTTTATTCATGTAGCATGGTTAGGACCAGGACATACGTATTTTTATCAGTTAAATACAATTAGGATTAGCAAACATAAAAACAAAAATAGAATCTTAAATATTTTAGAACCATAAATTTAAAGAATTGGCATATATGGTAGGGTGGCTTCCATCAACAACCAGGGTTGCTTGTTTTCTGTTACCTACTGAATTACTTAAATGGAATTGTCCGGTTTACATTCCAAAGGATTACCACTTTTGGTTACAGTAGGTAATTAGTCGGCCTCTTGTCGATAGTGGGTATTGTCTTTTACTGCTTTCTTGATTAGATAAAAGCCAAAAGATAACAGAAAATATTATTTTATAATGCGTTCATTAAATGTCGTCCTTCCATGTTGATCTTGATTTTCATATTTTAAATTAACTCGTTATTGAAGCTTTACGAATATAATATTCTGTACCCAATATAAAACAGATCCGAGGACTTATAATTTAACACTACAGTTACATTAAGTATTGTATTAAGGATTGTACATATATAATGCATATAACTCACATCAAACTATATGCGAGTAATATATCATTAAAGTCCCTTGATCTAATTCAATTGCTCGGTAACACCAACTAACTTACTAACTAACTAGCCGACTGACCGACTAACAAACTAACTAAAGTAACTGCGTTGGTCGACATACTTTTCGTATTTGCGTTTAAATATTACTAATCTCCTTAGTGTGAACAGAATACCGAGTGTTTAAACAGGTCCGTTAACCTTGACAAAATGTGCAAAATAGTTGATCTGTTAGAGGATATATATATTACCTACTCGAGACTCCAATAAATTCACACACCCGTACAGCTCCTTTAACCTTGAAAAAATGCACTTACGTTAGTATATCCTGCAACGCGAACGTTAATCTAACAGTCAAATTCATTGTCATACAATTAATTCAGGATATCACCCATCGTAACTAACCAATTGATACACCTATTTCACGCGCAGCATAAAAGATGCAAGGTCATAGTCATTTCATGTTAACCGCAAGCAAGTAATTTATGATATGTTTCATAACTTTGACAAGATGTGGCGTCATGAGGCCCATACATGTTGTCAGACATACAGAAAGAAGGACGAAAATAATGATTGTATAAAAATTTATTCATTTCTCGTCAGATTTCTTTTCCAGGATTCTCAATTTATTCAATGTTATTCAGTTCAAGTTCCTGCACTAAATTATGATATAACTCAAAGCTATGGGTACTGGTATTTTATACGTAAAGTATTTGGATGTATTTTCTTTGTACTATATGTAGATTAAGTTTACCTTCATCCATAGGAATGGATTATTGACTCTGGTTATATAAATTGCAGTAAGCATCTACGTACTTGGTAGTATCTGAAAAAGAACTTTTCTTTTTAAATTTTTCTTTCAGTAATTAAGCGTATGTATAATATGCTCGTACATTAGACCCGAGGCAAAGTAATATGCTCATATATAAACATATGTTCATGATATTTCATTTTACCATGATTGCATGATAAAAAGCTACTAAGAGTGGAAATTATGAACATTTCTGCAGAAGTAGAGGTTTAAGTATGTACAGTTGGAAGGTGATAGGGAAGGATGTAATTATAACTATAATAGATGTTTGTTGTTGTTGAATGGCCCGTTATCAGGGTATTCTCTATCTTATTGTCATGGTTTCAAATCGTCATCACCGTTTGCCAATCGTTCTGCTTCATCGCTTTTACTGAACGGTCATGGCATTATGCCGTCTTTATCCACTCGGGGATTTAAAGATTCTTTTCCTATATCTTTATAACTCTAACTTTAAAAATTGACCTGTGTCATATAGACCATTGATTACTAAAATTACTCACCGTATTCGCGTAATTTACTGTAATTGCGTGTAATTACTTTTTTCCCGTTATTTTTCTGTGATAGTCCAACACAATCTGTTTTTCTTAATATGTTCATTTAGAAATTATTTGTTATTAAAAACCTTAAAGTATTTACAGTTAACAATATATTTACACTGTACATAAACAAGTTCCTTCTTAAATTAATTGTCTCCACAGCCAGGCAGAACTATGATTAATTTCTGTTTTTCAATATATTAAAAATTGTTTATGGTGATGATGTACTAATGATGAAAATGACTGTGAATCATGTTTACTGTGTGAGAAGTGCCCTATGTGTAAGGTCAGTCTTCTGTGTGTAATGTCAATTTAGTAGTGTCCTGTTCGTCAGTATGTGAGTAGTGTCCTGTTCGTCAGTTTGTGAATAGTGTCCTGTGTGTTAGTGTGTAAGTAGTGTCCTGTGTCAGTGTGTGAGAAGTGTCATGTGTCAGTGTGTGAGTAGTAGTGAGTAGTGTCCTACGTCAGTGTGTGAGTAGTGTGTCAGTGTGTAAGAAGTGTCATGTGTCAGTGTGTTAGTAGTAGTGAGTAGTGTCCTGTGTCAGTGTGTGAGTAGTGTCATGTGTCAGTGTGTGAGTAGTAGTGAGTAGTGTCCTACGTCAGTGTGTGAGTAGTGTGTCAGTGTGTGAGAAGTGTCATGTGTCAGTGTGTGAGTAATAGTGAGTAGTGTCCTGTGTCAGTGTGTGAGTAGTGTGTCAGTGTGTGAGAAGTGTCATGTGTCAGTGTGTTAGTAGTAGTAGTGAGTAAGTATTTTAGTGGAGTAGCGGGGGGTCGAACTCGCAACCCCTAGATTTGAAGTCAGACAGTGTTACCACTGCACCACAGCGCCAGCTTTGATTTATAACTGTTTTGGAAGTTCCTTTATATATTATAACATAAGAAAACATGAGATTAAGTAATACAATTGAATTTTCACACCTAGATAGTTAATAAAGCTGTTATGTCTCAAGTGTATTACAATGGCTGACATTCGTGTCCTTGCTCGAGGGTTATGATAAAGACTAAGACTGATGACTGATAAAAAAACATACCAGAAAAAGTCATGTTCCATTAAATAGAATCTCAAATCTAATATTGACAATAAGTAAGCAAAGGAAGCTGTTGTTAATGATACATGATGGTTTGAGACAAGTCTATTTAATCTAGTTTCACTAATTATGCCCCCTTCAAAGAAGTGGGGGTATATTGTTTTGCATTTGTCTGTCGCTCCGTCCGTCGGTATGCCAGTCCAAATGGTTTCCGAGTGATAACTAAAGAACGCTTAGGCCTAGGAACTTCAAACTTAGTATGAGAGTTTTAAAAAGGTTTCCTATCAATAACTTGACAAGCTATGGGCTTCTGGCCCTCAAATTTTGAAGGTGCATTGGTCTTGGCCAGTAAATGACCCCTAATGATTTTGGGGTCAGGGGAACAAAGGTCCAGATTGCATTTACCTTGTTTTTTAAAATGGTTTTCTATCAATAAATGGACAACCCTTGGACCATTGACCTCCAACTTTACAGATTTATTGCTTTCGGTCATAAGATGACCTCACTGGATTTTTTGGCGTTAAGGGGTCAGAGGTCAAGGTCACATTTACCTTATAGGTAACAACGCTTTCTGATCAATATCCCAACTCATGGGCCCTTTACCTTCAAACTTCACATGTGCATTGGTCTTGGGCAGTAGATAACCCCTATTGATTTATGGTCAAAGGTCAATGTCATATTGACCTTGTATGTAAAGACTGTTTCTGACCAATAACTCAACAACTCAAGTTGCCTTGGTTGATATTTTTTATTAAACTAAAAATCCTTTTGGTGTACACATTTCAAGGTCTTATGTAATATAACAACTTGGCTGTCATTAATGAGGCCTACATGATTCATAAAATTTATGCATATATTATTTGGTAAGATTTGAAATAACTTTGTCATAAAATTGCTGTACACAACCTTTGCGGTCAAAATTACCTAGTGACTAGTCATGGCCAGTAATTAACCCTTATTGATTTTTTTTGGTCACTCGGTCAAAAGTCAGTCAAAATAAACTGATCACATGACTAATTGGCTGCCGATAGGGGGCATACATGTTCTACAAACATATCTTGTTAAAAATATTTCTGTTGACGGAAATTACATGAAAAAAGTATGATAAGCAGAAAAAAGCCAAGACTCATGCTTATTTTCATGAAGATTTTACAAATGTAATGTTAATTAAATGTAAGATATTATCAAGTGAACTAAGAAAGTAATTTACATATTATAAAAAAACACGTTCAATCCACGTAAATTACCCAATGAATGTCAAAATATGAAGAAGGCCTTTACTACGTTAGTCATGCAAAATAGTTATATTTTTATTTACGTCTTAGTAAATTTTATTTAAATTATTTTTCAGAATATAAGTAACAGATATATGATAAGATAGATGAATTCTACCAGACGGTATCACCCCGCACTCTACGTCGACCAGAGGACTCAGTTGGTTATTCTCGTGAATCTCCAGTTACCAACCAGAAGGTGGTTGGCAATTTGAACTTTGCATGTTTTCCCCTCAAAACATGAAGTATTTTTCCGGAATAAATATAGCGGATATATGGCAAGATAGATGTGTTCTACCACATGTTACCACCCCACACTTTACGTCGGCCAGTGGACTCAGTTAGTTATTTGCTTGAATCCCCACCTACCTACCAGAAGGTAGTTGGTAATTCGGATTTTGCATATTAACGGTAAAAAAATTTACGTTTTTATAACAAGATATGTGTTTTCTATAATATGGTAATACCCCC